AATCTTATTGGCTAAAGAATGTCAGATCCATTCCTAATCTTGGCCTTAGTAAGCAATCGGCAAATAAGACAGACGTGAAGTCCTTTGATTATCTCGCAGACATTGCAGACACCTTATGCTATGATGATGTCACACCTATGCTGTTGATTGGCATTGACAATTGGCACCTTATAGCGTCTCATAGTACACGTCGTGGATCCCTTTCGCAACCAGTGGCATCCTTGACTGCCCTCGGTTGGGTTATTTACGGTTCTTTAAAGTGCAAATCGAAGGAATCTTATAACTGCGTTGTCGTAAATCATCTTGAAGCAGAGTTTACTGAATGCTTAGACTCCAGGCTTGACACACAGTTACAAGAGTACTTCCGAGTGGACTCTATCGGAATTTCCAAAAAAGATTATTTTTCCAAGAATGAACAAATTGCTATTCAGATCTTAGAGGATACCACAAGACGTCTGCCTTCAGGAAATTTTGAAACCGGTTTACTTTGGCGTCCTGAAGTTTCTAAAATGACAGTGCCCGATTCTTTCGATCTCGCTCGCTCTCGTTTTTTGAGCCTAGAAAGAAAAATGAAAAGAGACAAACAGTACGCGGATGCTTATCGTGGTAATATCGAAGCCATGATCACCAAAGGCTACGCGGAATTGTGCAACGATGAAAATAACGACGGGGTCTTATGGTATCTTCCTCATTTCGGTGTAGTCCACCCACAAAAACACAAGCTTCGTGTTGTCCACGATGCGGCTGCTGCATGTCAGGGAGTCAGTCTAAATTCTTTGTTGTTGCCAGGGCCAGACCTGCTTAAACCACTTTTAGCAATTTTGATGCGTTTCCGTGAAGGTAGCATTGCCATGAACGGAGACATACGGGAGATGTTTCCTCAGACTAAGATTAGGAAGGAGGATCGTAACGCTCAGAGGTTCCTCTGGCGTGACGCCCCCTCCAAGCCTCTCGATGAGTACCGTATGTCTTCGATGATGTTCGGTGCGGTGTCGAGTCCCTTCACGGCCCTATACCTTAAAAATAAAAATGCAGAGGACTATAGAGATCGGTTCCCAGCTGCAGCGGACGCCATCGTGGACAACCACTACATGGACGACTATCTAGGGAGCGTTAATTCGGACGAAGAGGCGAAACAGCTGGCTTTTGACATAACCTATGTCCACGCTCAAGCGGGTCTTGAGATGAGGGCGTGGGTATCTAATTCCCAAGAAGCTGTTTCTCTTCTCCCTCCGAATCTTAGGACTGACGTTTCCTCTGTTCTTGTGCGCGTCTTAGGTGTGTGCTGGAATACCGAGGACGATTCCCTAAGTTTTTGTCGCGGTAGTTTTGGAGACCCTCCACATAAGTTAACCAAGCGTTCCGTCCTGTCACATTTAATGCGGCTGTACGATCCCCTCGGGCTTTTGACTCCTCATATTATTCGTGGTCGCATATTGTTCCAAAAAACCTGGAGGATATGTACCGGTTGGGACGAAGAGTTGCCACCCGCTTTTGTCGCAGGTTGGACTGCTTGGTTTCGGGAAAGTGAAGTTCTCCTCTCTAGCACTATCCCCAGACATTACTTAGCGCATAAACATGCTCACCCTCAGGTTCAGCTTCACGTTTTCGCTGACGCAAGTGAGCTCGCATATGCCTGCGTAGCCTATTGGCGTTTCGAGTGCACTGACGGAAGCGTGAGGCTCAGCCTCATAGGTGGTAAGGCTCGGCTTGCGCCTCTGAAACCGCAGTCAATTCCGAGACTTGAACTCCAAGCTGCTCTTATCGCAGCACGTTTCGCGGCATACATTATAGAGGCTCACCGGCTTTACACGATTTCAAGAGTGACCTTATGGTCCGATAGCCTCACCGTTTTGAGGTGGTTGCGTAGCGACGCCCGCACGTTCAAGCCGTTCGTTGCGCATCGCATTGGTGAGATCGCTGAGATTACCAACATATCTAATTGGCGGCACGTGCCAACGGCACTGAACGTGGCGGACGACGCTACCAGAGTCACGTCAAAATTCGAAATTTCATCTCGATGGTTTTCTGGCCCTTCTTTTCTTGCTTGTCCCGAGTACGAGTGGCCAACCGAGTCATTTAACGAGATTCCACTAGTTCTCGAGGAAATGAAACGACCTCCTGTGGAAGTAATAACTGTAACAACTGCACGCGAATTACCTTACCCAGTGGTCCCAGACACCACTCGATTCAGCCGATGGATCCGTTTGCTTAGAGCTACTGCTCGTGTTTTTGTTTGCGCCAGAATTTTCAAGGCGGCGCTTTTAGACCCTACTTCTAAATTACTAAATTATGCGTCAGGGCGCCGAGAACCTACCGCAGAAGACATAAGCCGAGCAGAAGAATTCCTTTTACTTCAATCCCAACTATCGACCTTACGAGAGGATTACAATTTAACCCATCGGGGCGAGCCCCCAGCCAGACATGGCCGCCTAAGTAGATTAACTTTGATGGTGGACGACGAGAGCAAACTTCTTTGTCTGTCTGGTCGGATTGCAGCAGTGAAGGACGTGCCTATGTTGTCCAAGAACCCTATCGTGCTTGACGGGAAGGACCGAATTATCAGACTGTTAATCGCATACTACCACGAACGCGCAGCCCATTCAAGTAACGAGCTGGTTGTTAATGAACTACGGCAGCGATACTATATCATCGGCTTGAGACCAGCAGTGAAAAGTGTGGCTTCTTCATGTCTATATTGCCGCATCCGTAGGGCCACAGTATCAATTCCCCCTGTCGGAGATCTTCCCCCAGAGAGACTTGCGCACCATATGCGGCCGTTTACTTATGTGGGCCTCGACTACTTTGGCCCTATCACAGTCACGGTGGGACGGCACACAGAAAAAAGATATGTTGCCCTATTTACCTGTCTGACTATACGTGCCGTCCACTTAGAAGTAGTTGGAAACCTAAGTGCCGATGCCGCAATAATGGCACTAAGGAGATTTATTGCGCGACGAGGAACACCGGCCTCACTTTTTAGCGACAACGGCACGGCCTTCGTTGGAGCAAGCAGGGAGTTGGAGATCCTGTTCGCAAAGCCAGTTCTCGAATTCGCCACCAACTTAAAAATCAAATGGAAGTTCATTCCCCCCTCGGCTCCTTTCATGGGAGGATGCTGGGAGCGCTTGGTACGAAGCATCAAGACCGCTCTCTCGGTAACCCTGACGCAACACTCTCCTTCGGAGGAAGTCCTCAATACCTTCCTGTTGGAAGCGGAGAGCTTAGTTAACTCGCGTCCTCTTACCCATGTTAGTGTCGACCCTGATGATGAAGAGTCTATTACACCTTTTCATTTTTTACTCGGCTCTTCTTCACCTTACTCAGCGTTAGCTCAGGTGGACGACGCTGACATGATTCGCCGTGTAAAATGGAAACGAGGATTGCGCTTGGCGGATCATTTTTGGTCACGTTGGACTCGTGAATATCTTCCGGCATTAATACCTCGCAGCATCTCCGCTTCCGCCAGGAATATTGAGGTCAAAGATAATGTACTAATAGTAGACGGTAACCTCCCACGTGGAGTCTGGCCACGGGGGCGGGTTACCCGAACGTTTCCGGGCAAGGACGGCGTAGTCCGAGTAGTAGAAGTGGCCACTAAGGCTGGAATTCTGCGTCGTCCTGTCCGCAAACTAGTTGTGCTACCATCTTAATAATATTTTATATTAATATTTATTTACATATGTAGTGTGGTTTGTTACGTCGATGACCCTAAATTATTGTGTTGTCACACCGGGGGCGACCATGTCACCGACGTAGCAGGCCACATATCTAATCTATGGTTGTATTATATTTAAATAATAAAAAAAAGAATAAATGAGTTCCCAACAAGTAGTATGTCCATATATCGGTTAGTGATACAGAAATGTATAGTTTTGTATAGAAATGCAAGGTTTATAAAATATCGATATATCAGCTCTGATTAATATTTATATCGTAACAGTGTTTCGAACAAAGTCGATATATCGATATTTCTTATGTCTATAATTCCTAAGGATCTGCAACAAAGCAATAATATTTTTTTATTATTATTACAAATTTCAAAGCAAATAATTACGGCGAAAAATATGGAAATCAATTTTATTTCACGTTTTGGACTTATTCATTTTTGGTTCGTTGAAATATCGATATATATCGGTTTTTCGATATAACGTTGCATTCCTAGTTCTGTGGCTTGATGTGAATTTGACTTTTGTGCTTTATTTTGGATTTCTATAATATTTTGTTTACCGATTTATTTTTCATGGTACATACATAATTAAATAATTTTGAAATGCGAATAGTTTTATATTGTAATATATGCATATTATCATACATGCGCTAAAAGTGTATATAATAAAATTGCTGCAGTTCAAGAGCAGCAAGATCGTAATCGTTTGATTTAGAGATTTTCCAGGTTTTAATGATACTGTTAATATCAATTTAAGATACTGTTTGTTTTTTGTTTGTCTTGAAATTTCGCTTCAGTGGAATGCGGTCTGGATTTCGCTGATATGCAGCTCTAAGTAGGACATATCAATATGTACCTATTTAACTCACGTCAATAAGAATCTTATAAATATCCTTATTCATTGCATTTATTTTTCACTTATTAATAACTCCTCAATGGAGAATAGACAATAATAAAAACTAGTTATGATCATGTCTAAATTAGCATCAAAACCTTTTATATTTTCGTTGGTTGTGTTTCTTTAATGTACCAAATGCTTTTCTTGTACCAGTTAGATTAATTATCTCATTACCAGCCCTTTTACGTCCCCACTGCAGGGGCTCAGGCCTTCCTTATAGATGGTTAAGGAGGATGGGCCATGACCCTCCACGCTGGCCCAATGCGGATTGGAGGCTATTAATGACTGCAAATGCAGCTGGTACCAACTGCTTAACGTGCCTTCCGAAGCACGGAGTAGCTCGAGATTAATTATCTATACATAGTATAACACAAAATCTCTTTCGGCTGCCTATATGCTGTTTTAAACTACATAACCAATTTTAATGCTGTGTTCATCAATAAACAGTGTTTCAAGAAGATTTACGTGTTTAATACAAGGCCAAGTGGGCAAAGCCACTGGCAGAAAAGTGGTTGTTATATAAATATTTTTAGTATATTTAGCTTGAAAAAGTAAATGTTGTAGGATGCTTATACAACTGTAGTTATTTCAATCAAGTTGTTGAAAAACAAAGAACAATTTCTTATAAGAAGCTATAAAACAATCTTTTATTTTTAGATTTATAATCATGGGAGGCTGTCGCTGCTCATATCGTAACTGCACTGTAAAGTCAGATAAGAAGACTCATATGTTTCACTTCCCTGTGTATGAAAAATTACGCTGTTATCAATGGATCATCAATGCACACAGATATGATTACCTACATCTTACAGTTTCTCAATTACGAAATCGTGTTATATGTCAAAATCACTTTAAAGATGAATATTTTATGAACTATATGGTGAGTATCGTATTTTATGTTACTTTCTATTTTAAAAAAATATTTCAATATTTGATTTGAAACTAAAATAATTCTTTTTCTATTTAATTAATGGCATTGCCCTTGTGGATTTCGCCAGAATCCAGTGTTTCACTCAGTTTGTTTCATATTTTATAAACTCTGCTTTTTGTATGATAGAAGTGAAAGCTCAAGTTAAATTTAGAATTTTGTTGAATTTAAATCAAAGATGAATGTTATTACTCTTAATATAATTACGTAAGATGATTACAAATGGAGAGTTAACATATTTTAAGATGGATTTAAAATTTGTGGGTTTGGGAATAAATGAGGGAATGACATTGTACAAGGAAGAAGGGTATAAAGGAAAATTCAAAGCTAATCTGTGTGTGCTTTGACAATCTCAGTTGTTTATAGTTTGTCATAAGTGTTGAACAAATGACTTTTATTGTCTCTGGCTTTGATGACATTTATTAATAGAGACAGGTCTTCAAGAGATATATTAATTGACACCTACCTAATTTAATTAATAATACATTATTGATCATCGCCATCTTTCATTTGTTTCATTTTCATTTTACATGTAGAAATTAATTTATTCACTTGACATTGGCAGAATTGTGCGAAATGCGCTGATAAGCCATTAATAAAAGAAAAAGAATTAATAATACCTTTAGATGAACAAACCTTTTATATACATATGATCTCAATCTTTGAAGTCACCAATGAATATCATTAAATTTTATATACAGGGGGTTTTGGAAGTAATAAATTTACTAATGTTTCATGCGCAAAAAAATACTGATCCAATGATCCAGTTACTAATTTCAAGGTTTGATTATATACTAACAATACTTATATTTGTTTGTAGGAGGTAAATTTTGAAAATACTAATCTGATTATTAAAATTCTTTCTTTTATGGGAAGCTACATCACATGTGGCTGACATAGGCTATAATTTATGTTGGCAAAGTCACGGGAAACAGCCAGTCTGCTATATAAGAAATATCTTAAAATAAGTTTCACATCTTTACCACTACCTACTCCTTTATATTAGACAATAATGCATTAAATACTCTTCCTTACAGAAAGAAAAGCTTACTTTTGAAGCAGTGCCTACTGAAGATGGTCCTTATTGTGATCCTAGTAAAGAAGAAAAAATAGACAGTGAAATAATAGAAAAAGCTAATTTAGTAATCAATGATATAGAACAAAAGCTTAAATATATAGATAAGAAAGCTAACTCTTCTTTGAAGTACATAGATTTTTTGTTAACTGTGGGGCCAACAATGGGTGGTAATGGGAATACTGAATTACGGATAGACATTCCTAAATTTAATCCTAAAAAAGATGAAGTAATTACTACGTCGCCGCTTTTACAATTGAAACGACTTAAGGACAGTTCTACCGACTTCAAAAATAGAAACATAACAGATGTCATTAAGAAACCTTTTCTGCATTCCTCAAATGTCTCTACAAAACAGACAGAAGATCATTCACACAACAACATAATGACAACACAAACCTTTTTAAATAAGAAATTAATGGAAAACAATATTAAAGATCTTAATTCTATGAATTTAAATCCTAATGATACTATATTTAATAATAATGTAACCAATGAAATTACCAATATTTTTAATTCACCTGTAGCATTGACTGCACCTATACCATCAAAAAGCATTAATAAAGCGGATGATGTGCAACAATCTGTTATAATAGATACTTTAAATAATGTGCAAAATACAGATTATAATTCAGTAAATAATAATTACTTTAGCGATAAACTTCAGTTTCAGTCTTCCTCTAATAATACCATATTTGATCAGCCTCTTAATGCAGTGCAATCCTGTCATCATACTAAAACGCAAAAAAATATGAAAATAAAAATTCTCTCTGAAGAGACCATATTAAATCCATTACCTTTTGTAGGCAAATTGGAACCAATTTTTCCATCTTTAGTGTTACCAGTTCCAAATAGGCTAAAAGGGCATACATCAAGTGACTTACAAATATCTCAACATAATTATAATACTCATAATAGACACATAGGGCCAGATTTAGTAAACAAAACAGAAATATTGGTGACTGAACAAAAACCAAACATTAATGAAAATGAAAGTTCCGAGGTTTTGAAGAATAATGATGTTATTATAAGCGATCCACCAAAAATAGAGATAATAGAACCAGAGGCATACACGACTACACCAAAAAAGACTAATATGGTCAGTAATGAGAAAGTTAGTACGCCAAAGTCATTATTGAAAAGTAAAGTATCTCCTGAGCGTCTTGCTGCTATAGAAAAGAAGAGAATGTTTAATAAGAAACTTAGGGACATGGTAGAATCATGTTTAGAGAAATCAAATGGCCCCGAAAAAGATATGGGTAAAGGAAATATCTTAAAAAGGAAGGATAATGAAAATATTGACACTTCTATTTCCAAAAGTAATTCTTTAACAAGCTCACAAGATTACATTGTAACATATTTAGAGGCAAGAATGAAGAAAATGGAAAATGTTTTGTTGAATAAAATAGAACAGAATTCCAATAGAATATCAGAGCTAAAGAAGTGTGTAGTACATTCAAAGCAGAAGTCTTTGTCTACTCAAACATCCACCAGTGAAGAGTCACATAAATTGTATCTATATGAGGAAATTTCGAAGTTTTTGAGCCCTGATGCAAAAAATTTAGTGTATGAAGATTTATTTATTTATAAATATTCACAAAGTCAAACTGATAATGTACCTAAAGCTAAAAGAAAACGATATAGATGATGTTAATGTTTAGTTTTAGTGACTAATTTATTTATAAATTTTATATTATTTGACAAAATTGAATTACATTTTACAACTTGACAAGAGCTTTTCCAATATTATCTCCTGTAAATAATCCTAGAAAAGCGTCAACGGCTGTTTCAAACCCGTCGTAAATATGTTCTTTGTATTTTAGTTGACCTTTTTTTACCCATTGGAGATTTTGAAGTACTCCTTCCATAGTACGATCAGCGAATCGGTTGACCTGAAACCCTTCAATCTTTAACTGCTTTCCAACTATATAAATCTGTACTGAAGTAGCTGTAATAAATAAATTACATTACGTTATTTTTCAAACTTATATTTTTATATATATAATTATTAAATATTTATATATAATTCACCTTTTCTCTTCTCTGGGTCTGTTTCATTATAACTCGATATAGACCCGCAAACTGCTACTCTTCCATAACTATTCATCTTGGACATTATTTGGCTGCTAATTTCGCCGCCGACGTTGTCAAAGTAGCAGTCAACTCCATGAGGAGCATTCTCTTTTAAATAATCTGCTATATTCACTGTCTTGTAATTTCCGGCAGCGTCAAATCCTAGTTCATTCACTAACCAATTGCATTTTTCGTCTGTACCAGCAAATCCAATTGTGCGACAGCCTGAAACGATAGGAACACGTATGTCTTAAATTATTGTGATTAAAGTGGAAAGATGGCATGTCATGCTGCCACAATGTCAAATTTCCTTAATTTATTATGAACCCTACCAAAAATCAACTGGAAAATGACAGTTCAATATAGCCTGATGTGCTGTTGACTAAAATAGCAGCAACATAAGTTTAACTATTATAAAACATTCTTTCCAGTTGTTATAAAAACATGATAATGATATATTAAAAACGAACCTAGTGCTTTGGCGATTTGTCCGACGTGTGATCCTACTGCTCCTGCAGCACCGGATATTACAATAGTCTCTGCCGGTTTTGGTTTGCATATTTCAGTCAAGCCAAAATAAGCGGTATTCCTATTAATAAAAAAGCTAATATGAAACGAAAGTTACTTTAATAGGCGAACTATATTAAAGAAAAAGGTTCTGCGATTCTGATAGGTATCAGATTCATATGTAATTTTGTGGGATTTAAATCCCTACTCTGCGTCAATATGCGCCAATGGTTGTTTTCAATATTACAAAATTATGCTGTCGTCATTAACCTACAAATATCCACACTGCTGGATATAGCATTTCCCTATGGAGACAATTGCATAACCCACCCGAAGACTATATGCCCGTTTTCACTAAACTAAGGAGTCGCCCAAATGTGTCGCCTAAATATTTAGGAATCGTCTAAGGTTAAAATGCATTTCACCATTAACTAGGGAACCACCGAACGAAACTAAGCAATGTCTAAAGTTATGATATGTCAAGGGATAAAAGAAAAAAATATTTATATAAAATTAAACTAATCTGCTTAGGGGTTTCCTAGTTAAGCTATGTTATAGCTAGCTTGTTCTAGGTTAGTGAAAATGGGTGAAAGTCCTCCATCCCCAACGAGGTTTCAATGCAGATTGGTTAATTGTTATCAAAATGGCACATGTAACTCACGATGAGAAGCACGGAAGAATCTCCGACGTTAAATTTCTGGTTACCCATCGTATGACAGTTGCGAAAGTTGTTATGTTATAAGACAATCGCTACCATAAATGAAATGTAAGTCCAAACCTTTACTTACCCTACTCTACCGCAAACCCCAAGACCTAAAGACACTGGCAATGATTCGAAGTCTGGCAGAGCGTATAAGAAAGGTTTTTGTGCGCAAAATTTCTCATCATCCGGATGAACCACAGTATATGTCCGCCAGCCAAAGTGGCCCATTACCCATGTTCCAACTGGATAAGCGCTATTCTTGCTTTCTATTATTCTGTAAAAGACATGAGCATAGTTATGAACCACTTATGACTACTAAACAAACACGACGATGTTACAAATGTGTAGTTGAAAAATTAAAATATCGAAGGCGAAGGTCAAGGCGTCGTGGCCGATGTAACATGTTCTTAAGATGAGCCGTTCTTATGCTATTGTAAAGGGAGCAGTTTGGGTAGTGGACATCGATGGTAACCGGGGTTATCGGAGAATGAGATGATGAACCCCTTTATGGGACGGGTTAGGGTGGTGATTTAATACAAAGAAATGATTGGTATAAGATTCTCACTTTGCAATTTGCCCTCCAATCATATCACATGGGTAAATGTCACCTAATTTCACTCGTTGGTATGGATCTACGCTCAGATATGCTGCCTCTGCCAAAAATTCTGTGAAAAATAATAATGTACAAGATATGGCAGCTAATAAACCTTGGTAAATTAATTTCGATTGTGCAGTATATATTAATTCAATACTAGTTATTATATTTGATTAATTTTGCATTCACAATGCTATAGTTCAAAATATTCACCAGCTCCATTTTAAAGCTTTTTTATTTAAGAATATTTTCTAGTATAGCATTGTGATGCAAAATCGAATAACTGTAATAAATTAGATCAATTTTTAATCTTAATCGAAAGTTTGAAATATTTCTTTCGTCTGTTTGTTTGAATTGCCTAGTAGCGAAAAAGGAACAAGTGCTTGAAAAATTTGTCAGTCCTGTTGGTTCCTGGACAGCGTAGTGGTTAGAGCAGTCGTCCGGATTATGAAAGGCCGCAGGTTTAAGTCCCATCTCAGTGTACGGGGGCTGATGCATTTTTAAGCATTATTATTAAGAATATTTTCCAGTAACTATTTACTTTAATTAAAATATTTAAATGTCTGCTTACTGGAAGATAGTAAAATAAACAGAACATACGATAAGGAGTCAATCCTGCTAATGTTAGTGTAAGTATGGAAAATCAATAGAGCTTCAACTACAAGTCTACAGCCCTTTATGACGCAGTTTTTGTTACTAGATCACAAAATAATAAATGTATATACACTATTGATTTGTGAGGAAGACATTGCACTAATAATATTAGATTTCACGTGAACAGGTAAAGCGGCAAAATGCAAGTAAGTTGTTGAGATTCTATTGAGGAAGTGAGGTCTGTGTGTATAATTTACCACCTTGCTCGGAGACTTCGTTTAACAACATAATTATAAATTCATTATCTTTGCCTATGTCTTTAGTTTGATTTTAATTATGAAATTTATAAGTTCAACCTATAACTGTTGAATTTTCTAACAATTAACTTTATAAGGGACTACTAATACAAAATAACATATTTTTGTATTTTATGTAGTCATTATAATCTGAGATAATGACATTGTTTACAACGTTTTAATAATTGCTACTAGATTCATGGGCTTAAAATAATGATACATAAGTACATAGTTACATCTTACCATCTTCCTTTAGCTCTGGTAAGATTTCCTCCTCTATTTGAAAGTCGCTCCTCTTCGGGTCTCCAACAAAAGGAGCGAGAACTACGTATTTCTTTGCTACAACCATATTTAACGCTGGCAAGGCACTCACTGACTGGTCGTAGTGGGATGAATGTTGTTATTATAATAACCTTAAACTTGTTAATTTACGCGCGAAATTCAAATACGTGTTATAATAATGTCACTGCGGTATTTTTGTTGATATCATGGAGTAAAAATAAATGTACTTTACTGAAGGGGTATTAAGAGTAGTTTTATCATTTATATTTCTCGCTCGATACGATGTATTATTTTCTTTAGTTTTGATTAGGCATATAGATAACGTGACGGATGATAAAAAATTATACGCAAGGCGGTATTAGTCATTGAAGAAATAATATTACTTATCATTCTATTTCAAAAAGTTGTCTTTCAATTAAATAAATGATATCACTTCAGATGCAACAAAGGCTTCCTCCAAAAATCGCCTCGTCAATCGGTCGCGTGAGTTCCTTATCTAACACTTCCCGGCAATTCTTGGGTCCGTGGTCGCCTCTCTAGGACTGCTGCACAATGGCCACCGTCCTACGAGCTATGTGTCCTGCTGATTGCCACTTTGACTGGTCATAAATAAATGACTAGTCATAAATTAATGTTAAAGTATTTGTAAAATATTTCCATTATACACACTTATCAAATTGTCTTTGAAAGGAAAACTATGAATTTAATTTTGAATATACTATCTAGTTTAATTTGCGAGAAATATGGTCTCATTCGCACAGGTGTGTGGTTTTTTGTAGCAGCTTATTAGCCTTAATGATTCTAATCAAGTAAGGTAGGTAAGTAGGGTAAATAGGTAGGATAGGTACTCCTAGGAACAAGTTATCGTGATTCAATGATTATTAAGAGAATAGAAAGTTCTGATGCAAGTCAAATGGTTGTCAAAAATATTAATGCGTTAGCAGCAGTTAAATTGTATTTGAAGCTTTTCCTTTCTTGAATAAATAAAAATCACAATTATGTAATTAAATTATTAAAATGTTTCGCAAGAACAAAAATAAGACAAGGTAATGAATAGTAAAAAAATTTTAGTATTTTAACCAAAAATGTTTAAAAGTTTCTGAATTTATTCTGATTGAAATATTAATACTAAACGATTTGGTGTAGGTAATTAATAATATGAAAAGTTTTTCATTATTTTAGAGATGATGAAGAAACGTCACATACACGTAAAGAAGTTCCCAATATATCATATTTTACTTTGGTAAGTTATTTTTTAATTATTGTCTCTCGAACTTTGATTTTCTTCATAAGTTGGTCATACTATAAACGTAAATAAGTAGGTGTCTTAGGTATCAATACACATTTTCTACCACTGAGTACCTACGGAGGTATTAATCGTATTCCGTTAAACTGGGACGGTGCCGGTGGCGGTTATTAAACCTCCTTAAAAATAGATCAATGGCCATGGCAATAACATGGCTGTATGTAACATGAAATACTTACATTCGTACCTATAGTCGAGAGAAGTAATTACTTTAGAATATGTCATAACTGAAGCAGATTTTTTTAACAAATATTAACATTACGAATGCGAAATTGAAAGAATTTGAATAGTTAGAATACTATTCTTACGAGTATTAACTATTAACAGTTCTACTTTAATAAATTTTACTCTATTCAATAAGTGCATAAGTAGTTACTTAGACTCAAGTAATTACTTCTACCCTACTACTAGTGTAAGTATACCTAGCTAGGTGAATTAAACCTAAGGTACATAACTTTAACTCATATAAAATCTAATATTATTTTCAATTTCAGTATAGGTTTGCTACTAGATTGGACATATTGTTAATAGCTATATCTTTGCTGTCTAATATGGTGGCTGGTATAATTCTGCCGTATGCTATAACCTTAGTAGCGGGGGTGTTTCAAAACATGATCTCGTATGTTCAAGACACAAATAAAGGAGTCGAAGATAGTGAATTATTTTTAAATGCAATGCACATATTTGCTATCAAATACTCTGGCGTGGGATGTATTTTATTTGTAACCGGGGTTATCGGAGAATGAGATGATGAACCCCTTTATGGGACGGGTTAGGGTGGTGATTTAATACAAAGAAATGATTGGTATAAGATTCTCACTTTGCAATTTGCCCTCCAATCATATCACATGGGTAAATGTCACCTAATTTCACTCGTTGGTATGGATCTACGCTCAGATATGCTGCCTCTGCCAAAAATTCTGTGAAAAATAATAATGTACAAGATATGGCAGCTAATAAACCTTGGTAAATTAATTTCGATTGTGCAGTATATATTAATTCAATACTAGTTATTATATTTGATTAATTTTGCATTCACAATGCTATAGTTCAAAATATTCACCAGCTCCATTTTAAAGCTTTTTTATTTAAGAATATTTTCTAGTATAGCATTGTGATGCAAAATCGAATAACTGTAATAAATTAGATCAATTTTTAATCTTAATCGAAAGTTTGAAATATTTCTTTCGTCTGTTTGTTTGAATTGCCTAGTAGCGAAAAAGGAACAAGTGCTTGAAAAATTTGTCAGTCCTGTTGGTTCCTGGACAGCGTAGTGGTTAGAGCAGTCGTCCGGATTATGAAAGGCCGCAGGTTTAAGTCCCATCTCAGTGTACGGGGGCTGATGCATTTTTAAGCATTATTATTAAGAATATTTTCCAGTAACTATTTACTTTAATTAAAATATTTAAATGTCTGCTTACTGGAAGATAGTAAAATAAACAGAACATACGATAAGGAGTCAATCCTGCTAATGTTAGTGTAAGTATGGAAAATCAATAGAGCTTCAACTACAAGTCTACAGCCCTTTATGACGCAGTTTTTGTTACTAGATCACAAAATAATAAATGTATATACACTATTGATTTGTGAGGAAGACATTGCACTAATAATATTAGATTTCACGTGAACAGGTAAAGCGGCAAAATGCAAGTAAGTTGTTGAGATTCTATTGAGGAAGTGAGGTCTGTGTGTATAATTTACCACCTTGCTCGGAGACTTCGTTTAACAACATAATTATAAATTCATTATCTTTGCCTATGTCTTTAGTTTGATTTTAATTATGAAATTTATAAGTTCAACCTATAACTGTTGAATTTTCTAACAATTAACTTTATAAGGGACTACTAATACAAAATAACATATTTTTGTATTTTATGTAGTCATTATAATCTGAGATAATGACATTGTTTACAACGTTTTAATAATTGCTACTAGATTCATGGGCTTAAAATAATGATACATAAGTACATAGTTACATCTTACCATCTTCCTTTAGCTCTGGTAAGATTTCCTCCTCTATTTGAAAGTCGCTCCTCTTCGGGTCTCCAACAAAAGGAGCGAGAACTACGTATTTCTTTGCTACAACCATATTTAACGCTGGCAAGGCACTCACTGACTGGTCGTAGTGGGATGAATGTTGTTATTATAATAACCTTAAACTTGTTAATTTACGCGCGAAATTCAAATACGTGTTATAATAATGTCACTGCGGTATTTTTGTTGATATCATGGAGTAAAAATAAATGTACTTTACTGAAGGGGTATTAAGAGTAGTTTTATCATTTATATTTCTCGCTCGATACGATGTATTATTTTCTTTAGTTTTGATTAGGCATATAGATAACGTGACGGATGATAAAAAATTATACGCAAGGCGGTATTAGTCATTGAAGAAATAATATTACTTATCATTCTATTTCAAAAAGTTGTCTTTCAATTAAATAAATGATATCACTTCAGATGCAACAAAGGCTTCCTCCAAAAATCGCCTCGTCAATCGGTCGCGTGAGTTCCTTATCTAACACTTCCCGGCAATTCTTGGGTCCGTGGTCGCCTCTCTAGGACTGCTGCACAATGGCCACCGTCCTACGAGCTATGTGTCCTGCTGATTGCCACTTTGACTGGTCATAAATAAATGACTAGTCATAAATTAATGTTAAAGTATTTGTAAAATATTTCCATTATACACACTTATCAAATTGTCTTTGAAAGGAAAACTATGAATTTAATTTTGAATATACTATCTAGTTTAATTTGCGAGAAATATGGTCTCATTCGCACAGGTGTGTGGTTTTTTGTAGCAGCTTATTAGCCTTAATGATTCTAATCAAGTAAGGTAGGTAAGTAGGGTAAATAGGTAGGATAGGTACTCCTAGGAACAAGTTATCGTGATTCAATGATTATTAAGAGAATAGAAAGTTCTGATGCAAGTCAAATGGTTGTCAAAAATATTAATGCGTTAGCAGCAGTTAAATTGTATTTGAAGCTTTTCCTTTCTTGAATAAATAAAAATCACAATTATGTAATTAAATTATTAAAATGTTTCGCAAGAACAAAAATAAGACAAGGTAATGAATAGTAAAAAAATTTTAGTATTTTAACCAAAAATGTTTAAAAGTTTCTGAATTTATTCTGATTGAAATATTAATACTAAACGATTTGGTGTAGGTAATTAATAATATGAAAAGTTTTTCATTATTTTAGAGATGATGAAGAAACGTCACATACACGTAAAGAAGTTCCCAATATATCATATTTTACTTTGGTAAGTTATTTTTTAATTATTGTCTCTCGAACTTTGATTTTCTTCATAAGTTGGTCATACTATAAACGTAAATAAGTAGGTGTCTTAGGTATCAATACACATTTTCTACCACTGAGTACCTACGGAGGTATTAATCGTATTCCGTTAAACTGGGACGGTGCCGGTGGCGGTTATTAAACCTCCTTAAAAATAGATCAATGGCCATGGCAATAACATGGCTGTATGTAACATGAAATACTTACATTCGTACCTATAGTCGAGAGAAGTAATTACTTTAGAATATGTCATAACTGAAGCAGATTTTTTTAACAAATATTAACATTACAAATGCGAAATTGAAAGAATTTGAATAGTTAGAATACTATTCTTACGAGTATTAACTATTAACAGTTCTACTTTAATAAATTTTACTCTATTCAATAAGTGCTGTAGTTACTTAGACTCAAGTAATTACTTCTACCCTACTACTAGTGTCAGTATACCTAGCTAGGTGAATTAAACCTAAGGTACAGTCGGCCAAGAAAGTGGTCTACCACCCTAAGGTTGAATTTCGCGTGTTACGTCAACTAACAACAAGGTTGATTTTCCGTAGCATTAATTTTTGACACGTCAAGTACACGTCATTATTGCTATCTTCATCATTTTGACGTAACCTTTGACAGTAATTATCTATACCTATAATAAAAATGTAACAAGGTTACGTTTGTAGGATATTTTGGAAAAAAAATATATGGACGGCCTTCATAAGACTAATAGAAGCCAAAATATTTTTTTTTCTGTCTGTTTGTATGTTTAAAACTTTAGAGTTAGAATATCGTAAATAAAGTCTTATAGTCTACAAATATCCTACATTAGAATGTAGATTAATTATATTTTAATACAAATAAAAAAAATCAGTACGTAGTGAAATGCTATGCGTAAGAAGCTATGCGTGTTATAGGTCTGAATATACTGAGATAACGGATAACAGAAATGAATAGCGACGAAAAACATATTGCGCCGACCCATAGCTTAGTGCGAGACAAGGGCTAAAACTAGAAGAGATAGTGAAAATGCTAATTCTTTGAATGTTAAAAAATATATACAATTCTTTTATAAAATTATAATTCTTAAAATCTTGTGTAGCCGCCATCTGCCTGTATAACAGCTTGGAGACGTTCCCGTCTCCATATTTGCGTGATAACCGTTCCGGACGGATGGCAACATAGCATTTTGGAGAACATCAACATAATCTGATGCCGTTGCTCGTGGTGGCAAAAAGGTCAAGTCTCCAACACCATCAGCAGTCATCCATCCATACAAATTTACCGAGATACGATCCGATTCTCTATTTGGCACGACATGATTTTGCGTATATCGCGTTTTATTGAATCGCCAAAGGTGTAGACGCCCGTGTTGACTGGTTTTAAAAGTTTTCTCGTCACAGAAAACAGTGTTACTCCAATCAAAATCCAAATATTCTATGGCGAAATTTAATCTGGCCATTCTATGAGCGTCAGTCATATAAATTTTCTTTGCATAACGCCTGTGATGTAAGCCCATGTAATGTAAATGGTTTCTAATGGTTTGGAGAGTCACGTCAAAAATGTCGGCAAAATAACGCGTTGGTATAAAGCCAGATTCCTCATAACTCCGTCTCATGAAGACTCGCTGAGTATCTGATATTTCAGGTCTACGACCGCTACGACTCCGAGCGTTCAAATTCCCCTCCTCGCTTTCTCGTCTTATCCAAAGACAGACAGCTTGTCTCCATAATCAAAAATAAAATATGAACAGAAAAAATAAAAAAAAAAATTTACACTCGGACTTGGTCTGAGATTTTACATTAAACTCACGTCAGACATAATAATACTTACCGACACATTTAATTCTCTAGAAATCTCACTAATATTCAAACCATCATTGTGTAATGCGATTATTTGTGCTCTTTCGTTAATGGATAAATTTCGGGGCATTGTAGTGTAAATTAATTAGGAAAATACCTACGGAAAATGCCGAGAAAATATTTGACACGAATTGTCAAGTGATATATTCTTTTTCAGTAAAAGAGTTTTCGTAACAAAATAGTTTCCACTTTGAAGTGACCTACTTAAATTTGAAATTTATGAAATATTGTGAAGACTATTTGTTGTTGCAAATTATTATCTAATGCATAGGCTGCAAAGGTCAAAATAACATTTGTGCTCTACGACAACACGTCAGCATTGTGCATCTCTTTTATTGTTTGTATGCAATTCTAAGATTCGCCTTTAGCGATGCTTTAAAGACACGGGAAATGTTGTCAAAACTGGTAGACCACTTTATTGGCCGACCGTACATGACTTATTCATTTTTAACTCGTATAATATCTAATATTATTTTCAATTTCAGTATAGGTTTGCTACTAGATTGGACATATTGTTAATAACTATATCTTTACTGTCTAATATGGTGGCTGGTATAATTCTGCCGTATGCTATAACCTTAGTAGCGGGGGTGTTTCAAAACATGATCTCGTATGTTCAAGACACAAATAAAGGAGTCGAAGATAGTGATTTTTTTTTAAATGCAATGCACATATTTGCTATCAAATACTCTGGCGTGGGATGTATTTTATTTTTGGGCGGATATCTAGGCACTGCTCTATCTAAGATTGCGGCTTTGAATCAGGTGTTTAAGTGGTTTCTATCCTAAACGAATTATATTATTTAATAAATATAAAATTGTACAAATGCAGTTTTATTGTTTTCAGATTTTTAAATTACGACAAGAATATCTAAAATGTGCTTTAAATCAAGACTTTGCTTATTTCGATCTCTATCGTACTGGTGATTTTGCATCTAAAATGTCCGAGTTAGTATTACAAGTTCTATTAAATATTGTTACTTTTCAATTAATAATTACTTCATAAAAACTCAAATGGGTAAACATTTACGGCCGGTTTCTGAATTGAGAAAGTACAAAATCTCAACTGATTATTCTTAATAAATTAAGGATTTTTACGTTTCATATGGCAAAAAGTATTAGATTTACCAAATTGCTATCAACTGATAATTAAAAATTTATAAATCAGCAATGAAAACATGTTTTAATGACATTTAAAGTGGCTTAAGCACGGTTTGAGACGTGCTCAACTTCAAATTCTCAATTCAGAAACCGGGCGTTAATGATTTTTTTACGTGGAATTCCTAAGTGGCCAAAATCTAGATATAAAGAAAATTAAGATTTATACCATTTTCACCAGTGATATTTTAAAAGTGGAAGAAGGCATCGGCGACAAAGTTTCTGCTTTTGTTTACAACCTGACTATATCCTTAGGGTGCGTCATGATGGCTATGCTCAAGGGTTGGAAATTGGCGTTGTTGTGCCTTACCGCCACACCTGTAACGTTTATACTCGTCGGACTGACAGGAAGAGTGAGTATTTTCATACATACATAGATTTGAGGTTTTGGAACATACCACATAACCGATTGGTTTGCACGCCGGTTTCAAGGTGTCATCTCTGAGAGCCCGGGTTCGAGTCGCGGTCGGATCAATGTTGAAAAATAACTTTTCTATATTGTCTCGGAGCTAATACCCTGTCTGTATATCAAATTTCATCAAAATTCGTTCATTCGTATCGGCGTGATTGACGGACACACATCCAAACAAAGTAACTTTTACATTTATAATATTAATAGGATGAATAACAATGCATTAAATTAATTTTATTCAAGATTGCAGATCGTCTTTCTAAAAAGGGCGCAATAGAAAAAGGTAAAGCAAGTGCCATTGCAGAGGAGGTGTTGAGTTCGATACGAACTGTGTACGCTTTTAGTGGTCAACAAAAAGAGATAGAGAGATACCGTAAACCTCTGGATAGGGCGCGACGAATATACATTAAGAAAGGTATATGTTACTTCTTTGTCAATTTTTATTAAAAAAAGACAAATAAATACCTGAGAAATTACATACTTACTCGGAGTTCATGTCGTGGCCTTTCATTGTAGCTAACATTATTAGCAATTTAGGTTGATCTATCGTTCGCTGAGTCGAACGGTTTGTTCAAAGCTACTAGGGTAAATGGGTTACAGCTTGTACCCTGGAGTGTATTAGCTATAAAAATTTTAGAACTCATAATTATAAAGTTATCATCGGAAATATTTGTCTAATACTTTACATCCATTAATAAATGAATAATATGCATAATAAAACGCGACGAGAGTTTTGGCAGTCCTCGCTTGATGTTAACCTGATACAGCGTAAAGAATTCTGAAGAGACCGAAACAGAGAGCAATTTGAAGGAGCAAGGTCAGGACTATACTGCGTTTGCATTAACAACTCCCAGCCAAACTTTCTTAATTTTTGCTGAGTGGCGAAAGATGTGTGAGGTCTAGCGTTATCATGATGAAAAAACCACACCCTTTCTATTGATTAAGTCTGGCCGCTTTCTTTCAACTTTTTGCTTTCATCTCATCAGTTGTTGCATTAGGGTTCAGAATCGATGGTTCTGCCTGGTGATAATATCTCATAATGAAGAATGCCCTTCCAATTCCACCATACACACAGCATCACCTTGTTGCGAGTTAACTCGGGTTTCTGTGAAGCCTCACTGACCTTTGACCATGACCTTTTTCGTACGTTCTACTCGTTCTTGTTCAGTTTTAATCGCCAGTTATCAGCTTCTTCAAAAATGGTTCGGTTTCATTACGCCCTAATTAAGAATCACAAATGGGTACACGGTTCATTAGGTTTCCTTCAATGAGCTCGTGAGGTACCCAAATATACAACTTTTTCGTATACCTAACTTTTTTCAAATACGCCAAAACTACGTCGTTATTACAGATATGCCGATCTTGCTCCAGTTTTTAGAAAATGGCATTAAATTTTATCCGTAACAGGCCGACCGGAGCGACGTGCATCTTTGACATCAAAATTTCCGGACTGAAAACGCTTAAACCAAATTTGTGCTACTCTCACAGAAACTGCACTAGGTCCATAAACGTCACAAATTTTTTTCGTGGCTTGCGTTGTATTTTTCCTTTTTTTTTTTTAATTAAACGTATCGAATTTCTTCATTAGATTCACTTATTTTGACAGTAAGAAAACCAAATGTAAAAATCACACATTTTCCGAATTTGAATTTATCTTCTTTTAAATTTAACGATACCGAACTTTTTAATGATACCGAAACCAACCAGATACAAATGGTAGAGTCAGAAAGACTTTATTATAAGTTGATGCATACTATATGCGAAAAGACTTCTTGCCCAACCTAATATATTTTTGTGTAGCTATATAGAAAATACTACGTTATGTTATGAGATGTAAGTCTACATTGTAATATAAATTACGCTAAAAGAATATTGAGTTTATCTGAAGATATTTTTTAATTATCACACTGTCACTAGTACCAATTTCTGTTGACCCATCGCTGGGCCTTCAATCATTCAACCTAAATTGCTACAAGGGTTAGATTACTAGTTTTCACTAATATTACCATAGAATGACGTAAATGACCTTAACATTTAGCCAGTTTCACAACTATGTTTTTTCAATACATTTTCAGATGTTTTCACTGGGCTTTCGATGGGATGCTTATTCTTTTGTGTCTTTTGCTCATATGCTTTATCATTCTATACCGGCATTTACCTAATTGTCAATGACCCGCAGCACTATAATGCTGACGTTATGTTCTCTGTAAGTTATATTCTAAATATTTATTTAATATATTTTTTGTGTTTCTAAAATAATATTCGTTAAGTTCATACTACCAATTACATGGATCTTGGGTGTCTAAATCTGCTATTATTAAAAGAATATAGAACTCAACTGATATTTTTGGATAGGTATTCTTTGGAATAATGACGGCAGTAGCCAACTTTGGTATGGTCGGTTCATTGGTATCAACGTTTGGATCAGCGAAAGGGTCAGGAGCGCAAATATTCCATTTACTGGACAATGTGCCAACTATTAATCCCTCAGAAGATCGTGGACTGAAACCGAGCGTGATTGAAGGAAACGTGGACTTAAAAAATGTCTTTTTCCATTATCCCACACGTCCGGAAGTTCCTGTAAGTAATTCCGGGTTGTCATTCTTGTAAAACTTTTGGAATCGACATGGTTATTTTAAATATATCAATTGAATAGTAACTGTGTCATTCTCAGTACTTTTTCATGGTTAATGTATATGTTGCCTTATACACTTCCCATAATTATGCTTCTAATAATTATGAGAAATGCATAAGGCAGTTTAGTTCATTTTTATTGTTTCAGATTTTGAAAGGGTTAAGCTTGACTGTGAAGTATGGAGAGACAGTTGCGCTGGTAGGACATTCCGGTTGTGGCAAGTCCACGATAATTCAGCTCATCTCCCGATTCTATGATGTCGTAGATGGAAGCGTATGTAAATATACCTAGTCAGTTTTATTAATCGTTATGTTATAAATGGTATCTTAGTTAACTGTTTCGATTTTTTGATGCTTCTTGAATAGCGGATCCAATATTTTATTAATAGGTCAGTTACTTAGTTTATTTATGTACATATCAAACGCTTTCCCATAATACAATCGCTTCTCAGGTCTGTTTAGATGGAAATGACGTCCGCATGCTATCAGTGAATTGGCTCCGCAGTCAGATTGGTCTTGTTGGACAACAACCGGTTCTTTTCAACGCCTCTATCCGTGATAATATCCTCTACGGTCGCGAAGACGCTACCAATGATGACGTCAAGACTGCGGCTGAACAAGCTTACGCTCATAGGTTTATTACTAAGCTACCTAAGGTGATCATATTACTTTATGACCACGTAAATTCGACTAAATTTGCAATGTATTTGCAACGTTTAACAGTTTATCGTAAATGAAAGTTAAACGATAATCTTGATGAAGGGCAAATAAATATTCAGGGTTATGACACAATCGTTGGTGAAGGCGGTGCTGCATTATCTGGTGGACAGAAGCAGCGAATTGCAATAGCGAGAGCCTTAATAAGGAATCCTAAAATATTGCTACTCGATGAGGCTACAAGTGCACTTGATCTCACTTCGGAGGCAAAAGTACAAAAAGCTCTTGATAAGGTCAGTATTAGGGTAAAGCATCTTAAGTACTTATTCCGTAACATCTATTACATATTTTAACTTTCAAAATAATTTTACAATATCTTCTGTTAAGCTTACATTTTAAGCTGAGATAAATATTTACAACACTGCATATTAATTAAACATTAAACGTAGCTTTTCAAAAGTATTTTCTGGTAAATCTGAATAAGCTTTTTTGGAATTTAGGCTGCAAAAGGTAGAACAACAATTATTGTGGCTCATCGGCAGTCGACTATAAGGAATGCTAATAAGATATATGTGATGAAAGATGGAATTGTAGTAGAAGAAGGTAACCACGAAGAACTGATGGCATTAAAAGGTTACTACTGGGATATGGTAGTACTGCAAGAGCGACATGAACCGATGAATACAGAAAGTAAGTCGTAGATATGTTTTATCAAAAGCCTGTTAGGTTATTCTGTTAGAGTCAATAAAGACGAGTTGCATTACAGCTGCAAATATGAACTATCGAATGGCACTAATTCTAAGGATATGACTGACACTGAAATTGTACTTACAGTCTTTTAGTAGCTGTACTTTTAAACTTTGATCATAAATACTGGATTGAAATTAGTAGAGATCAGAGATAGAGTTGCAATTTGCCTAATGAGGTTCTAACTTACATAGCTTTTGGTAAATTTTTCATTAATAATGATTTTTTTTTTGCAGTAGACGCTGATCTTGCAAGAGAAGAGTCTAAAACATCTGAACGTAGCGTTTCTGGCACGGGCGTGATAGATGTAATATTTAAATGTATTCTGTTGTATTGTTCATCGAAGATTCTGTTACATTATTTTTATTTTGTACTGATAAATGGTAGTATAATATGAGCAGAGCTTAGACCAAACATTCAAATTTCATATATTAATCGGGATTTATATTATAATAAAAAACGGCGAGCTCATTTTTGCTGTTTAAACAAAGTATATTCACATCACGTTTACCTTATAATTTTTGCATTAGGCTACGCTTACTTTGGATAATATAATCGACTCACGAATATTTGTCAAAATCTCCGAAATTTCACCTATGAAAAACTCACGCCCAGGGAGACCATTTCCATAGGATTTGTAATCGCGATCGTTCGTGCAATCTGTGCATGTTCACCTTCGACAATATTTCCAAAGGCAGCGTTTAAAACTATGACTTACGGCCAATTTCATTGTCCAACGAAAATATGAATCATGTTTCTCTGTTTACATTTTTTAAGTCTATAAATTAGATTTTTTATTCATTCAGCCATTGGATGAAGAAAAAAGACATACGCCAAAGCTTTCATTCTGGCGAGTGATTCGCTTAAATGCCCCCGAGTGGAAGTCCATCACAGTGGGCTGCATCTGTTCTATTATCATCGGGTTTTCAATGCCGTTGTTTATAGTTGTATTCGGCGATCTTTTTGGAGTGAGTTTTTAAAGCAAACTTGTATTTAACAGCAAACTTCATGTAATGCCATTTTACATTCGTAACATACTTATATCAGTTGGCTGCGAGATATGTTATTTATTAAAGTGTTTTATATAAAAAATGGAAATTATTTTAATACTTTTTTCATAACACCTATCAAAGATAAATTTGAATGTTTAGATTATAATACATATCATGGAGAATTGTTAGCTCCAAAGTGTTTTATATAAAAAAAGGACTCTGCAATGTTTTAGGAGATATAAAAGTCTTTTTAAGAAATTTAAGACTTCCTCAAAGTTAATTCACCCAAAGTCCATATAAATATAGTAGCAGCTAGCAAGTTCTCAATCAATTAAGCTGCAAATAAATATTTTTTTTTTTATTTCAGTCTATGTCAAATCCCGATCCCTCTGTACTAATGGGAAAGGTAGAATCCGTCTCTTTGTCCTGTATTTTAATAGGATTCATGATGGGATTCAGTAATTTTGTAGAGGTAAGATTCATTTCTTTTCAGATAATTATAACTTTTGGCTCAGAAAGAAGTCGTGTATTTAGAAAAAAGTATACTTATATATCTATACATAGTATAAAACAAAGTCGCTTTCCGTTCTCTGTACGCTGAGATCTAAACTACACAATTAATTTTAATACGGTTTTCATCAATATATAGAGATAAATAGCCTTAGTTACCAGATGTCCCATTAAATGATTTATTTTAACATTACATCGAATAATTTTACAAGGCCTTGAAAGGATACCTGAAATAATAATTACACAATAGGCGACGTCATTTGGCGCGGCAGGCGCGTATTTGACAGAGAGACTGCGTGTGCGCATGTTTGAACATATGATACGACAGCATGTGGCATTTTACGATGATCGAGTTAATTCGACAGGCGCTTTGTGTGCTCGACTCTCAGGAGAAGCGGCTCAAGTTCAAGCTGTTAGTAATTCTTATATTTGATCAATATTGCATTCACAATGCTATATGATATTTATCTTGAAGAAAAATTCTTGAGAAAATTTTCGTAATCCGAGTGACTGCTCCAATTAATTTCTCACTCACTTATTGGTTTCTCTAGTGAGCGTTTTGTCTTCAATGATCAGGCAATTACACGCTATTTATTTCTCAATTATAAATTCCTAATTATAGCTTGTCCTTGCTTAGCTTAGCCAGTATAATGGAAACAATTAACCAAAAGGCTGATGATAGTTTATCATATTCAGCCTTTCAATCACCGTGCTGCTGTACAGGCATATCCAACGATGGAATATAAAATTGCGATGTAAAAAGATCTTAATAATAAAATATTTCTTTAGTACAACCCTGAATTCATAAATATCATCTTATTTGTGTTTCTTTCAGGCCACAGGACAGCGTATAGGTGTTGTGCTACAAGGGATAGGTTCGATTGGCCTGGCTGTAGTTTTGGCTATGTTATTTGAATGGCGCGTGGGGTTGATAGTCCTCTCGTTCTTCCCAGTAGTCGCAGTGGTGATCTATTATCAGGGAAAAGCTATTGGCCAAGAATCACGAGACAATGCAAAAACCCTAGAAGACAGCACTATGGTAAAGTTGAACTGTACGGAATCCAACATCTGAATTTATAATTTGAAAGGTAGACAAGGGACTGCAGTCTCGACAGACTGCGATCACAATATTAGCGAATTCGGCTGCTAACTCATAGCTATCGTCATTTAACGATCATTGCAAGTCTCTACAGTTATGTATATATTTGTCAGACACGTACCGAGTTCAACTGTCAAATTAGCGATATTCGTTAGTTTCCTAGCATTCGCTTTGACTTAACGATAAGATTGCCATCAGAAACAATCGAGACTACAGCCAATGGTATTTTATTGACTCAACTGCACAATTTATTAGGGTTCTTTAGCAAATCTAAAGAAAAATTGATATTAGAACTAGAAGCTTGCAATTTAATGTATTTATGTACACGTATAATTCCCGTTTATATGTATTTTCAGTAGATAGCAATAGAGGCTGTATCCAACGTGCGTACAGTAGCATCGCTTGGTCGCGAAAGGCGGGTGCTGGCTGAATACTCTGCGCGGTTGTGGCCTGCCATGGCACCCGCTCGTCGAGCAGCGCACTGTCGTGGCATAGTAGCGGGCCTCTCACGTTCAATGTTCTACTTCATCAATGCCACTGCCCTCACGTACGGAGGACACCTTATCGTGAATGATGGTGTAGCCTATCAAGATATTCTTATGTTAGTTCTTATAGGCGGTTTTCTTCTCTTACAGAACTAGGCATTATCTTGACCAATGTGGTAACTGAAAAGCTATGATATTTCTTACCTAGTTAGTATTTGCAAAATATCTGTGTACAAATACATATGCACAAGCAACAAATAATATTGAAACCATTATAAGCACGTGTATATATCAATTGGCGTAAGGGCAGGCAGTTTCATTATTTTTTGTAACTATTTATTGGTCGTGGAAGTTTCATAAAACTATGAAGTTAATAGGTTTATTATCTACCGAACTTTTAAGTAAAATAATAATATCAAGAGTTGTTTCTTAAATGAATTTTATTTTCGGCAGTACCACACAATCTTTACAAATGGCATCTGGACAAGCACAAAACGCGTTCACTTTCGCTCCCGACTTCCAGAAGGGCATCAAAGCTGGCTCTAGAATCGTCGAGTTCCTTAAGATAAAGCCGCAAATCATTGATCCAGAAAATCCAATCCCAGATTTTGTAAGCGTCATTAATTCACTAAATCGATATTACAAACTTTCCATGAGGTAGGTACTTAAAAGAGGCTTGTTAATGTTCTTTTATCAACTTTAGCTGTATAAGAAATGAGATTTAAGGATCAACTATTATTCGGTTATTTTGCTTCATGTTACCTCTCCGAAAATACGAATCTGATTAAACATTTTTTTTATATTAATTATAGAACGCTACCGGAGAAGCTAATTTCAAAGGAATTGAGTTTAAATATCCAAATCGGCCAACTGTAAAGGTGTTAAAAGGCTTAGACTTACATGTAAGTGCCATAGTTTTAAGAACTCGTTAACGCTCCATGTCAAAACCAGTCTTTACTGATTTTCTCGTCAGTTTTTTCTGAAGAAGGTCTCCAGCCAGAAATTCACGGACCGTAGATGTTGTTTTTTGATTTTTACAAATACAAGATTTGTTCCAACAGCCTAGACTGTATAAATAAGCTTGAATTTGATAGCTTTAACTTACCTTATACAGCTTTTGATAACCTTATACACGACGAAAAGAACTTCATTTTTTTATCATATTCAGCTGGAGCGTGGGCATACAATAGCATTGGTCGGGCAAAGTGGCTGCGGCAAGAGTACCGTGATTCAAATACTTGAGAGGTTCTACGATCCTGATGTGGGCACTGTGGTTAGTCGTCGTTTTATCCTCACTTGAATTTTCTGAATTAACTTAAGAGATATTGCTTTCTAAATAAGTCAAGGATTCTTTGTACTATAAAAATCATAAAAGTAGAATGTAATTCAACTTTTCGTGGTTTTTTAAAGCTCAAAAATGTGTAGGTATGCAATAAAGCTGTTTCGGTACCTTATCGATTACAAACTTCCAATCTCGCTTAGTGTGTTTAGAAAAAGAAGAGCCGACTTACTTGGATATATTTTCGTAATAACGAAATATATTATTTGGAACAATAATTTTAAGTGAGTATTTTATAGAATTAGGCGTTACCTGGCGGAAGTCCATAGTCCATTAGAATTATTATTGTCACTTTAAATTGACTGTGAAACTATGATACCTAGCAACTTCAACATTCAAACAGTATTTGCAAGACCTTCAGTGTACCGTCCGCATACAAATATACATGCACATACAGCAGCAAATGTCGCAATCACCACCCCACACGATGAAGGATGTTTATAGATATCATAGTTTCACAGTCAATTTAAAGTGACAATAATAATTCTAATTACAAAATTTAATTTTGCATTCACAATGTTATACTGGAAAATATTGCCTGGACATTGATGAAATTCGTCAGTCCTGTTGGGTCCATTTTTTATGCTGGCGCTGGTCGATTTTTTAAACATTTTTCATTAGGAATGATAACTCTTTTGACAGTCCTTAGATGACGTCCCTTTGCCTCTGTTGCGTATACGAGAAGTGCGTGCTTCCCTTGGGTTGGTCTCACAAGAACCGGTACTATTCGACCGCACTATAGCCGAAAACATCGCCTACGGAGACAATTCAAGGACGCTGCCACATGATGACATTGTGGAAGCAGCCAAACAGGCTAACATACATAATTTTATAGTTTCGTTACCTCAGGTATGGCTATTGCTAAGTGATATAAGACGGTATCCATTATCTAAGTTTGAGATAAATTATGAAGTGGCTCTTTTTCAAGATCATCTTTTATTTATTTACCTCCCCTAAGCTGTCTTCGTCCGGAATTTTAACGGAATATGTGACTTTAATTAGTATATTTAATAAAAAATTCTCGAAGTAAAATAAATATGTAGGTACTTTTAAAGAGTATAAGTCAAACTTAGTGTCGATTCAATTTGCCTATGAAATGCGCTCCGGTTTTAAGAATTTAATAATAAGAGTTAGTCATATTTTTTAACCGACTTCAAAAAAGGAGGTTATCATTTCGAGGTGTATGCATGTAATTTCATTGGAATGGCGTAATATTCAGGTTATGTTGGTCTGTATGGGCTTCTAAACACGTGTGCAAAATTTTGTAGATGTATGTATGTTTGTCCACGGATATCTCGCAAACTGGACGTCTGATTGCATTGATTCTTTCATGTTTAATTGCTTAGGTTTCAACTTAGGGTACACTAGAAGTTTCGTCAAAATCGGTTCCAGTAGTTTTGAAGATATAAACTATTATATAATATATAATTAGCCTTTCGACTTCCTTTTGTATCATCATAACCGGCTGGGGTACAGGTCTTCGCCATGGACGGAATCGAATCAAACGGGGAAATTTTCTATTATGACCCACAATATGCGGGCTCAGTGTGGATAGGTGGATGACATTACAGTTGAGGAGTGGGTGCTCGCTACGTCACAATAATGTAGAAAATGTACAAAGGTGTAATATCATGCGACATTTCAACTCAATGTATCGTCATTTTTTATTAATTAACCAAAAATATACGTATTTAATATTCTTCAATAATCTACCTGACGGATAGATAGAAAAAAAACGTACCATCAGTCATCCCTATTCTGACAGTGAATATATATGTCGGTGGGTAGTCAGAAGGGGCGATTACGAAGCCCAAATAGATCGTCCATATCGGAGGACTATCTCTAAAATAACACTGCAGGCATGCACACCAACGTGGACATATTCCATTTTATCACTTTTCATACGAAAACACAACGAGATGAGCGCGATGTCGTCGGATGCCTCCACTCCTCAGCAATCGGAAACAGAATGTGTGCCAAAATGGCGGCTACTTGCTTTTTGTTAACGAACTGTCAAAGTCAGTGTCACCATTCTAATAAAATTAAAAGTATCGATGATCATGCCCTCTCTACAATCGAGTAATTAAGTAATCGAGTAACTAGCAATTAAAAAAAAGAAACTAAATCAAACGATCTTCTTAAAGATGATGCGACATATATAACATCTTAATTCTGTCAGGGTTACACAACCAACATCGGATCAAAGGGCACTCAGCTTTCGGGCGGGCAGAAGCAACGCGTAGCGATCGCTCGCGCACTCGTACGTAATCCAAGGATACTATTGCTAGACGAAGCGACAAGTGCCTTAGACTCTGAGAGTGAAAAGGTATCCTATGGTTTTTAAGTTTTATTTCGATGTAATTTAAAATCCCGTGTATCGTTAGTATTTTTCAGATCACTTTGATTTGTTATATTTTTATTTCGAAATAGAAACAGATTTACAATATAATTTCATATTAAAGCTATTGAGTTCTTATGTGACCATAATTATTGTAAATCCAGCTACGATGGTTACAACCATAAAGTATATTGTCTTAATGGGAATATCACATTTTATTTATTATATCTTTCTTACCTGGTAAAATATCCCTACCATCACTATTTTGAGTTAAATTAAATTAGAAAAACAAGAACAAACAATATAATTCACTAAAGTAAATCTATTTGAATAATCAACTACTTGACTCCCGTACTTACGCGCCTATATCAGCTATCTCTTTCTTCGGGTCGTATACCTGAGGCTTGGAGAGAGGCCATTGTGCAGCCAGTGCCCCAAAAGGGAGATCGGTCAGACCCTGCAAACTACTCAATCAAATTGAGCTCAATCAAGTTCTGGATCTCATATCGAAATGGGGTGCTGAAAATCTGGTTGAGTTCAATGCCAAGAAAACTCAGGTTTGCGTATTTACCGCCAAGACCCCTTCATTCCCTTCCCTTCCCTCTCTTCAGGGCACAACCTTGCCTCTACAGAGCAGCATCAACATGCTCGGGATGGAAGTGCGCTGTGATCTGAATCCAAAAAACCACATCGAGTCTGTTATTAAAACAGCATCACGTAAACTCGGTGTCCTGAACAAGGTGCGGCGTTTTTTCACGCCCGAACAACTGTGCCTGCTATACAAAACGCAGGTCCGGTCATGCGTGGAGTATTGCTCGCACCTTTGGGATGGCTCCGCTAGGTACTTACTCGATGTTTTGGATAGATTGCAGCGCCGCGCAGTACGCATTATTGGCAATGGCGAAGTCACCAAGAACCTAGAAAGCCTGCAACTGCGCCGAGACGTTGCTTCGCTCAGCGTCTTCTACCGTCTCTACCATGGTGAATGCTCTGAAGAACTCTTTTCTCTTATCCCCCCATCTCCCTTCCTCCTCAGGACCACACGTGCTGGTTTGCGTTGCCACCAACTAACTGTGGCAACGATTCCTTCGCGTACAAAGAAATTTGGCGACTCATTTCTTTGTCGAACCTCCAAAAAATGGAATTGTCTCCCGGCCCATGTATTCCCTCCTTCCTATGACATGAGGTCCTTCAAGCGGGGCGTGAAGAAGCACCTTGCAGGTCGGCAAGGTGAGGTTGGCTAGTGCAGTACCTACGTACTGTTTTCACTAGCTGTCCTCGCGTTTGGACTCCGCCTCCGCTTACCATCAGGTGGAGCGCAGTCATTTGCCCTCCATTTTATAAAAAAAAAAAAATCAAGTGATAGAACTAGGAATAGGTTAGAGCAGTCGCCCGGATTGCGAAAGGGTTCGTGTCCCATCTCAGAGTACTTTGGGCTAGTGGATTTTTTAAGCATTTTTCATTAAGAATGTTCTATGTTTTTAGGTGGTACAAGAGGCTTTAGACAAAGGAAGGATCGGTCGTAGTTGCGTGACGATAGCCCACAACCTGAGCACAGTGCGTGACGCAGATCTGATCTGCGTCATCACCGATGGACGCGTCGCAGAGAGTGGTACGCATACCGCTCTCATGGACCTCAAAGGACTCTACTACAATCTCTATAATTCTAATATAAATTAGAGCAAAAACCAGCGTTTTTATGTATCCATGCAATAAATATTAGTCTTTTTTATTGTTTTATTTTTATTGTACAAAAACAGAAATGTAATAATTTACGTTAATTTCATAGAGTGTAATAAGATTTTTTTTACATGAGTCAAAATATATGTAAATAATAAACAGTAATAAGATAATAAGGACAAAACAAAATTATGGTATAGTCATAATTAAGCTAAAAGTGACACGAAATGTGTGACTACGAGCGACTCACGGCCGGCCCGTCCATATAGGCAAACTAGGCATCTGCCTAGGGCGCTCGTATATGGGGGTGGCATGGCATAGCAATCAGATTGTTTGCTCTAATTATAAGTTCCTTGAAAATGCGGCACCATAAAAAAATTACTTATGTTCTTTGAACATAGTCTATGTCCGTACAGAGCACAAAATTTTCAGACCAGCGTAACCAAAGAAGTTACTTTTGTCATTGGCAAAATTAGCTGCGTTCTTGTCAGTACGGTTTCGCAGTTAACTACGAATAACGTCATTACACAGACGCACATGTTTCGAATTCAGAGTTCCCATCTGTTCCGATTTCTGATGTCTATCCGAATGTTACGAATATTGTTGAAACCTCAAAAGGTGACAACCCTGTTTGCATTCGCAGTTTCACAGATGTTGCGTAACTAACTAACGGCGTTAACACGCCAAGTACGGATCCATCGTTAGGCGTGCCTACAGCCCTGATTGAGTTGTGACGTCACTTTTTCATGGTCTACTGAAGTTTAATTAAACACATATTTTTTGGCAAATTTTGGAATATTTCGGTAAACATCTCCTTTGCAGGAGTTTATACCCCAAATCTCACTTTGCATATATTTGAGTATCTGTAACCACAGCCTTATCTGAGGTCTGGAACCTCTCCTGTAGAGCGCCAAGTTTCATTGAGCTGAAGCGACCGTATCCCCTCCAGTCACCCGCAAGCCCAGTACTAAGCCACAAGTGTCTATAGAGAAGTTGAAAGTAGAAAACTAGGGGAAAATTGCGCAATTATACCTGGTACTAATAAACTTTGTATACGATACTTTAGAGTCATAAGTTGTATGTCCTCGCATACATACAAGTAATTTCTTGAAAAAATATTCATTCTATATTATGCTATAGTATAATCGTAGGTTGGGTGTAATAGCATAATAGAAATACTTTGAGATGTTATTGCTCTTAGAGGAATTGCTTTAAAGGGGCAATATATGAACTAACAGAGAGAAACACCTCACCAATAACTGTTGATAGAATAGATTGCCGGTCAGAAAACATTATGGATTCGAATTCTGCCTCGGCATTTAAGATAATAGTAATGTTACAATTTTTTTTCTTTAATTTAAAGATTACATATTGTTTTGTTGACTGTGCAATAAAAAATCTGTAAAGAACTAAACAAAGGAAAAAGTAAATATGACCTCCTTAGCCGAGTGGTTCGCATGCCAGTTTCAAAGTGTTGCCATCTCTGATGTCCCGGTTTCAATTACCGGTTGAATCAATGTAGAAAATTGGTTCCGGTCTTTTTTTTTGTGGTACTTTTGTTGTCTTAGATACACCATAATACGGGAGCTTTAGCTATTCTTCTTGGAATCTGTACAATTGCTGTCCAATAAATCTACAAAATCTTGCAATTTCACTGCCTACTTATACCGCCAAACTTTGTCTTATATGGCTGTAGAATTTTAGTCTCGAATTTGTTTGTTTTATTTACCGGTAGATTAGATATATCTTGGACTAAGCGGGACTAAGGCATTAGATATATTTTACTTCGCTTTTCGCCCCTCGAGAAATTCTAATGTTTACTTACCAAGACAAAACCGTAGGTATTGTTTGTAATGCGGACTACTGTTATACAAAATCTTACTTATCTAAACGACTAATATTTTATAAAACTTTATTTTATAAGTCATATTGTAAAGAAAATAAAGAAACATTATTATTATTATAATAATGTTCACTATTTTCATTATTATTTGTTTTCTGTCTTATTGTTATATTTCACGTTAAACATACATATATCAGTGGGTGGCCCTTCGATTTACTGAAAATATAGGACAGGTTAATGAAACGATGGCAAGTTTACTTTATTATTTAATTTTGTACGTGTCACAACGAAATATTTAAGTTTCCTTGTAATGAAGTCCAGAAATGTGCCCCAAATATACGCTCCACGTTATTTTACTATTACATTTCCTTAATTTCCAGTAAGCCGAAATGGATTAGTTGAAAATTCTGTTAGTTTTTATTTTTAATTGTTGAGGAACTTATTGCTTAATCCTTAGTTGTTGTGTTTGTGATCACATAGTCAACAAAGGAAAATCTTTACACGCTCGGGAATCCGCTCAAAAGTTTATAATCGTGAACAACTTTTAATTTCTTAATACTTTTATTGACATCAGTTACTATTGTTGTCAATAATTGGTGTTAGTTGGTACACCATCGTCTGTTAAAGCTCCGCTGCAGTGGTCATGCATCCGGCAGTCGGCAGGATAACCACGCGAGGGATACACGTCGTCGTCCAACACGCGCACCGCACCTACAACGTACGTAATCTCTTATCATTACGATAATGATACATCGCATTACCTCACGAGTGCGGACATAGACACCTTTAAATTTATCATTAGTCACTGAAATTTTAAACCGAACAGAAGTGTTAGTGAAGTTATAATTCATAATGAAAGGATTTTTAATATTGTTAGTTTTGACCGCCGTGAAATGTAACCCTTGTGATTTAAAGGAGAGTTTAAATATAACCAGCGGGGAGTTGTTTCCCAACGGTTCAATGGTTCATGAAGGCGTAGAGTATGGAAGTAGTGCTTGGTATGAGATTACAGAAGATGGGGTCGTGACGAGGTTTGGATGCCCGTGCATCGGCCGCTTGTGTGTTTGGAGGTGTTGCCCTAAAGGACAGGCGCTATATTGGCAAAGAGTGTCGGGACACGGATCTGGGTGTTGTGAATCCGTTCAGTCCTCCGGTGTTTAAAGGAGCGGCACCGATTAATGTGACGGCCCACGAGCGTTTCTTTTACATGCACAATAGACTATGTGAAGAAAGATATATTGCTGACACGAATTTTCCTTCTAATGAATTATATTTACAGCAGGTGAGTGTACAGCTCTTAATAATTTAAAAGTAGCATCAAAAAATGTTTAAGTTCTATAATTTTATTGTGGTTTTTGCAAATGGCTTCGCCCGCATGGTCTATACGATGACTTGTGACTATATTTATCCCTAGGGAACTGTTTAGTGGGATAAAATGTAGACTATAACTTAATTGGCGCTTACAGTTATGCGTATACCATATCATTTCATTTCATCAAAATCCGTTTACATTAATAGTTTTTACATGAAAGGTTAACAAACGTACAAACTTTCGTAGGTGTTTATAGTATTAGAAGGTCTAGTAGGATTAGAACAGCGTATATAATTTATAGATATGCATTCATTAAAAACAAAAGTTACCTGCTTCAAATTAAAAAAAATGAAATTTAAGAGTTTTAATAATGTTTGGTTTCAAAATAATCCGTCAACATAAATAGATAACCTTATTTGTCCGTCTATATATAGATTATTATTAAACAGCTTATGTTGAATCAGAGCTTACGTGATAACGGTTTCTGGAAGATTTATGATAATAACAAACAAAGAAGTTCACTGAAATTCTGAAATTCTGTAATAAAATGTTTTTTCAGAGAATGCACTCGAGAAAATGTATATCTTTAGGTGTTTCTTCTGGATTTCTAATTGAAAAAACAACCAAAACTTTATATTATGTTTGGATTTCTCTATGTATATATCTTTTATGAAATTAACATTCGCGAACCAACAATCGCGATGGCAGTCGCCCGGATTGCGAAAGGCTCGTGGGTTCGATTCCCATCTCAGGGTGCCAGGGATCAAGTGGATTTTTTAAAGCATTTTGTATTAAGAATAAAAGTTTTACTGTTATTCTCAATTTCCGTGTAAATTCTACTTCTGCAGTTTCCATTAAGTGACTGGATATATTCCAGTGTCGGTTACATTAACATAATGTTAACTAAGGTAACCGACATATTGTAGTGTTATCAAAGTATATGATCAGACTACCATTTTTAAAATATTTTGCTAACTCATAAATATTCTAGGAAGAAATACCCGAAGAATTAAAGAAACTGAAAGTGTTATCTGAAAGTGGTACCAATTTCAGTGTTGAAAAAAAAACGAAAGAAATCGAGTTTGCAAATAATATTAAACAAAAATTTATCCTAATGGAAAATACTATTATAAAATTTTCAATCTTTTATCCCATATTACATAGTTTGTGCGGAATTTAGGCAACACATCAAATAAACGTTTGGCAAATATTTTGACTAACAATGACTAATACACAAATCATAATATAGGAATGTTTGAATTGACATTAATACTATTTCTTGAAATATTGTAAATGCAGAAAAGGGAACGGGGAATTTCAATTAGTCGTCGCTTGAAAGGAAATTATTTTTAAACTCCTTAGTTATTGTTAACGTAGTTTAAAAAATAGAATATAATTTATTCTTTTAAATAACTTTTTAAGGAATAGAGTTTTCAAAATAAGCCAATGAAATGGTTTTTGTTATTGTCGTTACAAACGGTAATTTCTTACTTACTCTATGGTAGTTACTTCTGTTAGAGTAGTAGAAAGTAACTCACTTGGAGTTACTTTCTTATTATCTGCTAAAAGAAAGATGGTCAATGCTGGCCGCTAACATTTAAAATATAAAGTACTTATAAAGTATTCGCGTTAGAATTCGCGTTGTCCTTTCAAGCTCATGAATAATCTTTTTTCTGGACGCCTCCACCGTAGAGATAATAGCTCAATTATATTATAATAACTAGTTGTGCCCGCAACTTCGTCTGCGTGGGAAAGTATATCAGGAGAATTGTTTCTTTCCTATGGTTGGGATCGAATAGAGTAGGATCAATGGTCTATGTCGCACTACGCGGGCCCAATGAGAATAGGTGGGTGTAAACGACTACTGATGCAGCCGGGACTAACCGCTTAACTTGTATTCCGAAGCACAGAGGAGCTCAAGATAATAATGTTTTGGTCGTCCACCTTACGATAGTTATAATTCTACAGCTCTTGTGTGTGACCATTTTTTATCGTACATTAGGTATACTCGCATTAGTGATACTTACGCTGTTTCAACTGTTCTTCTTTTGATTTTTATCTTTTTAAAATGTTAAAAATCGTAAACCAAATGCGCTAATCTCTAATCTTAAAAAGAGCAAAAATGTTACTGTTTTATTTGTATCGAATGGGTTCCGAAACCACTGAACCGATTTTAAAAATTCTTTTGCCTGCGGAATGTTACGTCATATTCAGGCAACACAGGTTATAATTTGCACGGCTACTTAATTTAATTAGTTAATTAAATAGGTACGCTTGTGGGGTACAGGCAGAGTGAAGGCAACACTGATTGGCGATAATCGAAACTACTTTCTCTCTCTCTATACTGCAAAGTCTGAGCTCTTAAAGAACTCGACCGCATTTCTTTATCAAAGGAAGTTTCAGACTCAAACAATGCTGCATATGTGGTACGATCAGCAGTTAGACGTGCTAAGTTATCTTCAGGAGTTTCCTGAGATCAAACGCTTGCTGTATGAACTATGAGAGCTCAAGATATTTTCCCTAACAACGAATGCTCTAGATTCAACTTGATAGTGCATGAGTGTCGCAATGGGTATTTAAATACGCTGCGTGCCCTCAATTATCTCCTGTGACCGAGCGCTTCCTGTCCGAACTCTCAGAGAGCTCAAGCGACTTTGTTGGTCAATAAAAGTCTTAGGGTCGACAGACATGTTGCTACGTATCTTTCGTCAGACATTCTCGTCTTATTATTTTGTCGCAGAACATCAGAGAACTAAAAAAATAAATTCTATAATTCGACCTTACACACTCGACGGAAATCGTGTAATGTGTGTGTGTGTCGTGAGGTGCTTGACTGAGTTCCATTAATTTTGCACCGACATTACATAAGCCTCAGGACCGGTGAATAAACCTGCGTCTCCAGTGAAGATTGCAAATACCTACTTTAAAGTAAAACGATTTGAATGTAAAAAAAAAACAAAAAGAGTAAAATAAGACTATTGAGAAGAAAAAAATTGATATAACTTGAATTGTCTTCAATCAATCATCGGAAAGGTATAAATCCAGTTTAGATTCATGCTGAGCCAAAGTTTCTGTAGGGCGTAAACTGGCCTGAAATTTCTTACATCTCGCTGTAGGATCTTCTTAAGAATCTCATTCTTTTAGCAGTTTTGAAGGTTTGACCTTTTTTCAAGGCATTCTTACAATTTATGTACCTTTTTGGCGAAAGTATCTGCTGAGACGTGAACTTAACTTTTTTAACGTCGAGGAAATGCTTCTGGCTCTGTTTCTGTTACTCGGCAAGCAACAGGGGTAGAGTAGGACTCTTCTCCGTGAACCCACATCGCAGCCGAGTCACCAGGACACTCAAGTATTGGACAATTGGTCCCATCGCAGATGGAGAGGCTCGGGTCCATCGAGAGCTTCTCCCAGACACGCCCACCGTGACAGGAGGTGGCTGCCAACCACCTCTGCTAGCCTCGAAGATGTAAACCTAACCTGATAAGAATTTACTATCGAAAACCTTATACGTGCGTTCATTGTATACTACTCGATGCTTACTTACAGCAGCGCAACGCTCTTTTCGCTTGATCTACTACTCGCGTGATTGTATACTACATGTCCATTTTAAGCTTCAGCTTATAATACCTTTATATGATCAATCATATTGAATAGGGTTCGCCCTAATTAATATGATTGGTCATATATAATTGAAATCAACTTACATTGCAGTATCCAAAATATTGAAAACATATTTTTATTTATATTCATATAAATTATATTTTACAGACAATATCAATACGTAGCTCGTAGTGCAACGGATAAGCGCCGCTACCCGCGATTGATGTTGTTAGGCAATTTTCGCATGGGTTGTTCATGGGATGGGTGACCAAAAATTATTAAATAAAGGCCTGAGCCCCACTGCATGGGAATGTAAAAGAGCTGACGATGATAAACAATATATCAGAGACTAAAATTTAATAAAGCAATTAATTTACTAGCAATTTTGACGAACCAGTACTTCAAATTGATATAACTTTTTTATTTATGAACCGATTGAAATAACGGAAGGTTACCACAGTACAATAGTGAAAACTGCGTTAAAATCGGTACAGCCGTGTCTGAGATTAGCATGCACAAACGCACAGACAAACAGACTAGAAAAAAAATCGTTGTTTTGTGTTCTGTTACGTTTATAATTGCCTGTCATAACTGTTTTTTTCATATATCTTCAATGTACAGACATCGATGGGTTATGTTTTTATTATAGTATAGAAGATAAGTACAAATTTTTAATACTAGAAATAAGTTGTAGAATATTAGTACAGAGTACAGAGAAGTCTCTTTTATTCGACAAAAGAATCGCTACTTTTGATATGTTTGATAATACCTTAACACACCGTCCTGAAACTATATAGAAAAATCAATTTTCTATATATAATATAAAGAAGAGTTTATTTTCTATATTGGCTCGACCGAAAACCGAAAGAAACCGAACGAAAGAACATCAGAGATAGCGACACTTTAAAACAGGAGAATGATTTTTTTGAATTCTCTTTAATTTTTTTTTCAGAGAAATTGTTCTCTTTTAATTACCTATTGACGCTTTTTGTATTCATTGTGTTGTCACCAATTTCATATGAAATTAAGTGGCTCTGATATTTGTAGATACTGCAAACAGGAGCATGAAATATCAAAACATCTCCTAATTGAATGTGAAGCCGCTGATCCAAAAACGAAGCATACATCAAGACGCATAATCAAGCCCAGATGATATAAAAGCTCTGATTTTACACACTTCTTAGGCTAAAAGAGCTACTATGTTTTTGGTGGCGAGTCACATAAAGATTTTTTAGGACGCAGTGACTACATTTCCATTAGGAACTGAAAAGCCCCTAGAACTAACTAATACCTAATAAATTTCAATGTACATCATTTTAATAAATATATTTTACACAATTTAAAATACATTCGTGGTAAGCCCCATTAGTAAGTCTAGTCGAATATACTGTCAATAGAGCATTTAATGGATTATGTGATACATATAACGTACGCGTGAGGATAATTATAAGTAAAAACATGAATGAACTGAAAAACTAATGACTTTGAATGACAAACAATTTATAAGCGTGCAAAGTGAATCATGCTTGTGATTTGAAGGAATTAAATTTACGCAAAGATACTTTTATCATCAGAATGACCACAGCTGTTTTTAAAAATAGCATCTATAATCTAGTAAACAAATACATTTCGCACATTTTACATTGCTTTGATCCTTACTTATTTTCGTATTCACGATATAATCTTAATATTTAATTTAGAAAATTAATAATGATAAAAAAAGTGTATAAGGTTAAGACTTAACTCATGCTTGTTTAAAATAATCATAATACTAATGAAATTACTTATTGCTAAAATGATCCATTATAACGAAGTAGTTATATTCCAGACCTTACCGAGGGAGTAAATAAAAATCGGTTAATGGTCTTAGCCCCGTTTTTTGGTCTACTTTTGATTTCGATTTGATGAAATGAACTTAAATAATAATCCACTA